GAAAGGCACAAGGATGTAGAGACTAAACAATACGCTATTGAACAAGCAACGGATCGTTGAAGAAATTAAAGAAAAAATCAACAAATACCAGCAGACAGATGAAAATGATAACATGCCATATCAACTCATATGGGATACAACAAAAGCTGTATTAAGAGGTAAATTCATCAAAATACAGGCATATGTTAACAAACAAGAAAAGTCCAAAATAAGCAATCTTAAACTACACCTAAGTGAATTAGAGAAAGAAGAACAAACGAAGCCCAAAGTCAGCAGAAGGAGAGAAATAATAAAAATCAGAGCAGAAATAAATGCTATTGAAACAAAAATGTCAGTAGAAAGGATAAATGAAACAAACAGCTGGTTCTTTGGGAAGATAAATAAAATTGACAACCCCCTAGCCAGACTTACAAAGAAAAAAGGGAGAAAGCTCACATAAACAAAATCAGAAATGAAAGAGGAGAAATAACAACAGACTCCGCAGAAATACAACGGATTATAAGAGAATACTACGAAAAATTATATGCCAACAAAATGGATAACCTAGAGGAAATGGATAAATCCTTGGACTCCTACAATCTCCCAAAGCTCAATAAAGAAGAAGCAGACAATTTGAACAGACCAATCACAAGGACAGAGATTGAAACAGCCATCAAAAGCATCCCAAATATCAAAAAGCCAGGACCATATGGCTTTCCTGGGGAATTCTACCAAACTTTCAGAGAGGATTTAATACCTATCCTTTTCAAGCTATTCCAAACAATTATGGAGGATGGAACACTTCCTAACACATTCTACGAGGCCAACATCATGCTGGTACCAAAGCCCGACAAGGACAGCATGACAAAAGAGAACGACAGGCCAATATCACTAATGAACATCGATGAAAAATTCTCAACAAAATTTGGCAACCCGAATCCACCAATTCATCAAAAGGATCATAAATCATGATCAAGTTGGATTCATACCAGGGACACAGGGATGGTTCAACATCAGCAAATCAATCAATGTGATACACCTCATCAACAAACTGAGGAATAAAAACCACGTGATCATCTCAATAGATGCAGAGAAAGCATTTGACAAGATCCAACAGCCATTTATGATCAAAACTCTGAACAAAATGGGGATAGAAGGGAACTACCTCAAAACAATAAAGGTCCTATATGACAAACCCACAGCCAACATCATACTCAATGGGCAAAAACTGACTGCCATCCTCCTGAGAACAGGAGTGAGACACTCTGTATCTAAGCTTATCTGTCACCTCTATCACCCCTCTTATTTAACATAGTCATGGAGGTTTTGGCCAAAGCAGTTAGGCAAGAAAAAGGAATAAAAGGAATCCAAATAGGGAGGGAAGAAGTGAAACTCTCACTGTTTGCAGATGACATGATCTTATATGTAGAAAACCCCAAAGACTCCATTGGAAAACTTTTAGAAGTGATCAACAACTACAGCAAAGTTGCAGGGTATAAAATCTATTTGCATAAATTGGTAGCATTTCTATACTCTAATAACGAACTAACAGAAAAAGACCTCAAGAACACAATACCATTCACAATCACAAAAAAAGAAAAAAATAACTTGGAGTGAATTTAACTGAGGAAGTGGAAGACCTATACAATGAAAATTACAAGGTTTTTCTGAAGGAAAGGAATGACGACATAAAGAAATGGAAAGACATTCCATGTACACGGATTGTAAGAATAAACTTAGTTAAAATGTCCGTTCTACCTAAAGCAATCTACAGATTCAACGCTATCCCAATCAGAATCCCAAAGACATTCTTTACAGAATTAGAACAAAGAATCCTAAAATTCACATGGGGCAACGAAAGATCCCACATTGCTAAAGCAATCCTGAGAAAAAAGAACAAAACTGGAGGCATCACAATGCCTGACTTCAAAACATACTACAAAGCTACAGTAATCAAAACAGCATGGTACTGGTACAAAAACAGGTGCTCGGATCAATGGAACAGAATTGAAAGCCCAGAAAGAAAACCACACATCTACGGATAGCTAATCTTCAACAAACTAGCTGAGGGCATACAATGGAGAAAAGAAAGTCTTTTCAACAAATGGTGCTGGGAAAACTGGAAAGCCACATGGAAAAGAATGAAAATTGACCATTCTTTCTCAGCATTCACCAAAATAAACTCAAAATGGATCAAAGACCTAAAAGTGAGACCTGAAACCATGAGGCTTCTAGAAGAAAATGTAGGCAGTACACTCTTTGACATCAGTATTAAAAGGATCTTTTCAGACACTATGTCTTCTCAGAGAAGGGAAACAATAGAAAGAATAAACAAATGGGACTTCATCAGAATAAAAAGCTTCTTCAAGGCAAATGAAAACAGGATTGAAACAAAAAAACAGCCCACTAACTGGCCAACAATATTTGCAAGTCATACATCTGACAGAGGCTTAATATACATAATATATAAAGAACTCACACAACTCAACAACAAAAAATCAAACAACCCGATCAAAAAATGAGCAGAGACAAGAACAGACGTTTCTCCAAAGAAGATATATGGATGGACAATAGGCACATGAAAAGATGTTCATCATCGCTGATCATCAGGGAAATGCAAATCGAAACTACCCTAACATATCACCTTACACCCATTAGAGTGACAAAAATATCTAAAACTAATAGTAACAAATGTTGGAGAGGTTGTGGAGAAAAAGGAACCCTCATACACTGCTGGTGGGAATGCAAACTGGTGCAGCCACTATGGAAAACAGTATGGAGATTCCTCAAAAAATTAATTAATAATTTCATATCTCCTATTTGGTTTTGGACTTGCGTCATGAATATACAAGAAACTTACAACTGAACAACAAAAAGAAGCAGCCTAATTCAAACTAAGCAAATTATCTGAGCAGACACCTCCTCGAATAAGAGATTAGAGGGTCATCGACACAATGTTTCATTAAGGGACAATAAAATAACACGAAATTGAGATACTGCTACTCAGCCATTACAAGGCTCAATTACACAGTTTTATGTGGTCTTTTTCTCTATTCAGTGTTTACTTCGTTACTGTAAATATTTGATTGTTCTCTCCAGCTCTGACAAAGTTGATTCGGGTGGTTTTGCTTGAGTCTTTTATTCCTGTGGAGGAGATGACGCTGGGAAATGCCTACATGACCATCTGCATTGGATTGGTTCCATTCTATTGAGTATGACTTCCTTTCTGACGTATACTGAGCAGTCAGACCTCAGCTCTACTGTGTCTCTGTGAAGCCAAAGTATTTCTTTAACTCATCACTATATGGTTTCCAAAATAGATTCCATTTTCTATGAGGTTTTTGAAAATGCCTCGGTGTGCTTTGAATCTATTTCTTGCCATATTTTCATTAAAAAACACTCTATAAATTCCCAATCTTCAATATGTTTTTCAATTATATCTCTATCTTCTACTTCTAGGACTGAAAAAAACTTTTCTTTTTTTTCTCAGCTTTTTATTTATTTCGCATGTTTTTTGTTTTATTTTTTCTTTTATCTCTGACATTTAGACTATAGATATTTTCTGGACTATTATCCTAATTAATACTTTAACCTCACAGATGTCTACTCTGCTTCCACATCATTTCTGTATTAGTTTGCTAGGGTTGTCATTACAAACTTACAAACCGGGTGGCTTAAACTACAGAAATTTATTTCTCATTATATGGACTATGTGGGCCCAAGATCAAGGTGTCATCAGGTTTGGTTTCTCCTAAGTCCTTTCTCCTTTGCTTGCAGATGGTCACCTTGTCACTGAGTCCTCAGATGGACTCTTCTCTGTGTGCATGTGCACCCCTGGTGTCTCTGTTTCTCCACTTTTCCTCTTCTTACAAGATGGCAGACTCCTTGACCATACTTTAGCCAGGCTCCTCAAAATGCTCTTCGCAACCATGTGTCAACGTTTGGCCTCCGCATCCATCTTCCTGGTCTTGTTTTATCAAGATCCCTGATGATCAGGTTAATGAGGATCCCCACCCTTGACATCTGCTCATCCTCTCATTGATCAAATTCCTCATCCCCGTTCTCTCCAGGTGAAATCTGACCGCCTGCACTCCCTTCAGAAAAAGCATGTGGAGCCGGTCTTGCGAGAAACCCTGATTTGATGTCTCCTCTTCATAATTTTATATCCACTCACCACTTCCTGCTCTTTGGCCAGAAACCTCCAGTTGTCCATGTTGTGTTGGCATTGATCCTGGTTTCCAGGACTGCCTCCAATACACAGTGAGTTTTGTCTTCCTGTTATTTGGAAGTAATTTTTATTTGATACGTTAGCAGAGAGCTCATGGTCAAGGGCAGTATAATTTGTGCCTGAAAGAAGTTTATGTAACATATGCATTTTCTCCTTAAGGCACTTCCCAGCCTTTCTGTGCACATGGACACTGGCCAGCACCTCAGCACTATGCACGGGAGCCACTTTAAACAGGGAAACTGCCCACTACAAGCACTAAAATGTGAAAAACCTAGTCCCAAGTTGAGCTCAAAGGAACTTCTTTACTTGATGGAGCTGAAACCAGAAGGCAGAGAACTGCCTTTGTGACCTCACATTGGAATGTGCCTGTGCTGTGTGACTCAAATTACTAGCCACAATGAACATTTCCATGAGTGACTGCAAAAATAACGACAGTTTTCTTTTAAGGAAGGAAATACAGTTTAGTGAGGAAGTGAATTAACAAATATGGAATCTGTGAATAATGAGGGTCCTTGTGTTTCCAACACCAGGACACTCTGGCCTTAGAAGTCTTCACCAGGGCACATTGCACAGACCTCAACCTATTTGTGCAGTGCTAACAATGCTGGAGGGTGGGGCTCCTCTTGCCCTCTGTAAAATTGAAGCATGAAAGACAATTATATATGTGATTTAAAATCCTCTAGGGCTCCTCAGCATACTCACCAGGATCCACGACTACAAATTCTACTTGAAACTATGGTGACCTGAGTAATGTATGAAGCTCCTTCAAGCAGAAGAAAAATAAAGGGGAATATCTAACCTTAATTTCTTAGTAAATATTAATATTATATTCTGAATGAATCGTAAAACAAAGTGTTGACACAATAGGACCTAGGAGAGGGTCCCTGGTGGAGTTTCTGGGCAGGAGGAGGAAACCACAGATTCTAAGCAGGAAAGCCTCCCAGCCTCTCCCTGCACCTGCTCCTGGGCTCAGCCCTGCACTGGGTGGGTCCTGAGCACCCCCTGGTGTCCTGAGTCCTTTGCAGCTCAGCCCCTCTTGTCTCCCTGCAGGAAGTTTTTGTCGGGGCTCACACTGACTTCCCCTCACTGTGTCTTTCGCACAGTAATAGACGGCCGTGTCCTCGCCTGTCAGGCTGTTCAGCGTCAGATAAACTTGGCTCTTGGAGGTGTCCTTGGTGATGCTGGCTCGGGACTTCAGGGCTGGGTTGTAGTTTGCACTTGCACTACCATATATAGCACCAACATATTCCAGCCCTTTTCCTGGAGCCTGGCGGACCCAGCCTACAGCATAACTGCTCAAAGAGAATCCAGAGACAGTGCAGGTGAGGGAGAGGGTCTGCGAGGGCTTCACCAGGCCAGGTCCTGACTCCTTCAGTTGCACCTGGGACAGGACACCTGCGGACAGAGAGAAACACAGTAAGTCATGCGGTCAGACTCAGTGTCCCCATATCTTCATGTCTGAGTCCTTGATTCACTCACATCTAGGAGCGGCCACCAGAAAGAGGAAGAACCACAGGTGATTCATGTTCTTGCAGATGAGATTCATGACTCCCTGAAAATATTTTCAGGGTGAGGAGGAACCTGAATTTAAGTGACTGTTTACACCTTGTGACCTAAGTGGAAATTTGCATGAGGCAGTTGCCTTTCTATAAAAAGGAGAAGGAAACTAGGAGAGGTCCTAGTCTCTTGGGCTCCCCCTGGGAGGAAGATGCTGACCCTGCCTTCAGGGAACTCAGTCTTTTTTCTCTTTTTCTTTCCTAGCACAGTTGATATGGCCATCAGAGCCCTAATCCTGCTTTTTAACTGTGCACCACTGAGTGTCTGCAAGAACAACATGAGCCCCAGGACTCAGGGTGTGCACACTGAGGAATGTCCAGCCCTTCACCTGACCACAAACAGACAGGCAGTGGAAGCTGCCCAGCACTCTGTATGTTGGGCCACTAACTGGTCTTGTTGGACACTCTCACACATTCCAGAAGTATCTGTTTCTTCTTGTCCTATCATTGACAGTGAATTTTGAATTCAGTGAACATGGTTTCCCCCATGTTGGGTGGAAGAACCCGTGTGATTCTGGGAAATTCACCTTCCCAGTGACTGGCTTGAAAAGTGGATGAGCTCCTCATGGTCAGAGGGAAGCTCCCACCTCAGGAAGCAGATTCCCTTGAAAGCTGTAGATGAGAGTTGCTTTCCTGAGTGCCAGTGTCATTGAATCCTGGGGCTGTGTCTGAGATCACATGAGTAAGTAGTGGTGGAGAGCAGAGCACAGCTCCATCTCTTCTTGTTCTGTGACACGGGGATGTGGCCTCTCCCTTCTGCATTTCAGTGTGAAGATATATAAACTGTGGATCACAGGTAATTTCATTGTGAACTTTATACTGGGGCAACAGAGGTGTTAAGTGTTGTCATCAGTGTCATCAGAACATGTGTGATTCTTGGAAATTCACCTTCAGAGTGACTGGCTTGAAAAGTGGATGAGATCCACGTGGTCAGAGAGAAGCTCCCACCTCAGGAAGCAGATTCCCTTGAAAGCTGTAGATGAGAGTTGCTTTCCTGAGTGCCTGTGTCATTGAATCCTGGGGCTGTGTCTGAGATCACATGAGTAAGTAGTGGTGGAGAGCAGAGCACAGCTCCATCTCTTCTTTTTCTGTGACACAGCATGTGGCCTCTACCTTCTGCATTTAAGTGTGAAGAGATATAAACTGTGGATCACAGGTAATTTCATTGTGAAATTTACAGTGGGGTAATAGGGCTGTTAAGTGTTGTCATCAGCGTCATCAGTGGTCTCACCTCTCCTGGGATCCAGTACAGACTTATGTGAGCACGCATCTCTGACGGACAGCTTTGTACATGTAAGAATTGCTTTGGTCCTGCCCTGAGATGTCCCACCTGTGGGTCTGGGCTGGTCAACTCACCCCCAGGCCAGTGACCTCGCCTGTAGGTTGATTGATTTGGAACCAGTTGTCTCTGAAAAGCCCTTTCCTTGATATCATTTCATGAACAGAGCCCTGCATGCACCATATTACTTCAGTATTTTCAGTGATATCACTAAAGTAAATAACTACTGAGTTGCTGGTCTGAATATAGATAATAGAAGAGTCAACCAAAGTGTCATAATCCAGAAAAAAAGGACACGACTGTGTCCTCTGGTTGAGGTCTGCAAAAGTGAACTGATATGCTCAGGGCAGTGGAGAGGAACAGACAAGATCAAAAATCCAGAACCAGGAGAGCCTGAAACTCACGAGAGGTGTCTGGGCCTGAGTTTGAATAGATGCAGAAGGATCTGTCCTGGCCTTGATGAGCTGATCATCCTGAGAAAATTGATATAAATTCATATTCATGTGGAGGGAAATATAATAGTTGAATATTTGTTTCAGTGGGTGGGAATAAGTTGATAGGGTCCAATCACTCTGAGAAAAGAAAAAAAAACTGATAGGTCACCAGCATCAGAAAGTGTTTTGGCATTTGTGGAGACAATTACAGACAATCACGTCTTGACACTAGATCATGTTACAACGCTGAAGGAAATATCTGTTGAAAATGACCAACATGTGATGGTAAATAGAAGTGGTGAGATTTTAAGTGAGAAGGTTTTGAAGGTTCCTAGTGATGATTGTACCGGGAGGGCCCAACCATTGTGATGAGAAGGAGAAGGAACAGATGGTGCTGGGCTTCCTGTTGAGGAGACAGGCAAGGTCCATCTGATCGCTTCTGTATTTCCCCGTGTAGAGGGATGAGAGTATAAACTGAGAATGGAGTGTGGACTTAAGGAAATTTGAGGCCTGCTGTTTAAGGACAACTTAGTGTCAATGTTGGAATCATCAAGGAAGAACAAGAAGCATGAAGTTTACATTGAAAAACAGTAGCGTTTCTGAGTAATATTCAGCTCGGTTGAATTTGGTTTTCCTGAATATACAGGATTCACTGTCCTCACTTGTAATCCTGTGGCTCCACTTGGAAGTCCAGTGTCAAACATCAGGGATGTCAATGAAATGCATTTGTTATGTAACAAAGTGGTGCAGGAAGATTAGGAGGCATAAGCTGAGGTTATGGGAATGTGTTATTGAAAAGCAAATTGTGAATCTCTACTATGAAATAGCAGGAAAAACCGAAATGATATAAAAGGCATTGCTTTTGTTTTCAACTACTACTTAAAACTAGAGAATAATCCAAGTAACTGAATCAACGACGCAGATTCCTCTCAGGTGTAACTTAGGATTAGAAAAGAGTCTAATTGAAGAAATCTTACTCTTCCCATGAAGAAAAAGTGTCTCTGTAGACATGTGACATAGTTCGAGTCAGCAAGGCAGGAGAGAGGGACTGTTGGGGCATTCCTGCTCCTTCAGAAGGTCATTTCAGAAGAAATGTCCCCTCTCTTCACCCAGCCGATCATCACATCTGAAAGAGGCTTTGGAGTCAGCTGTCACGTGTCCATCCATCAAGTCCCTCACTGTTTAGGCCATGAAAAGTGCTTTTGCTTCACTTTCCATTGAAATAGCCACAACTAATCATGGGAAATCATGGAAAAATATGGAAAATTAGCCCAAGGGAAAGCCAGAGATTGAAAGAAAATATTTTCAAAGGACATCTGACATATCTATTTCAAAAATACACAAAAGAAGTGTTAAATTCAACAATAAGAAACAAATATGAAAATTTGAAAAATAGGTCAAAGCCCTTGACAGATACTTCACTAAGCAAGATACACAGATGAGAAATAAGGATACGAAGAGAACATGCATCACAGGGAAATGCAAGTTAAAACAATGATGCACCACCACAAACTTAATAGAAATGACAGCATCCAGAGCCCCAAGATCATCAAATGCTGATGAGGATGTGGGGCAACAGGAACCGTCATTCATTGCTGGTGGGAATGCAAAATGGTGCGTCCATGTTGGAAGACAGTTTGGCAGGTTTTTACAAAACTAAACATGCTTTTACCGTATTATGTGACAATCCCAACCTTGTATTTACTCAAAGGATAATAAAATTCATGTCCTGACAAACACACGCACACGGATGATTGTAGAGGCTTTATTATTTTATTCCTATTTGCCAAAACTTGGCAACAGCTAAGAGGTCTTTCAGTAGGTGATTGGATAATACACTGTGACTCATGCACACAATGTGCTCTTAAATGTGACATAGATTTGGAAGAAGCATCAAAGGATGTGATGGCCTTGCAAAGGAGAGATGCCAGAAGAACCCAACTGAGGAGGTGATTTGAGAATGTGAAAGTGGGCAGCGAGGACTAAGGCTGTGAAGAGATTGTGCAGAATGAGACAGAGAGAAGGCAGACTGGGATTGACATCCCATAATGTTATGTACCAGTGGGAGTTTTCCTTAGAATCGACGGTTTAGATCCAAAAATGGAATGAGGATATTTGATTGATTTCATATTTGTAGTTTTCGTGGTTAACGCTGTCAGTGTACAATGAAGTTGACTGATCCCCTTAGAGAGTGTGAGTGAGTGTAAAGAAATGGCATAATGTCATTTTGAATGTGTGTACTAGACATGCACTCATTGTGATACAGAATCTCTGTCCTGAACATCTTCTCAGGCAGAGCACTTATCTCATGTCCTTTTGCTGTTCATTAGCTTACCTCTAATCAGTTTTTAAGCTGAGGATCCTTCTCTCCATGTTGATTTCCGTCTGTTCCTGCACTTTCAGGCTTAGAGATAATTCCTTGCGTATTTCTGCTTTGGTCACTGGGAACATTGGTGCCATTGGTGTGACCAGACCTCTAAGCCAATTCTCTGACCGCTGACTCCAGCCTCCCCCAGACGTGTCCAACATGATGCTCTGCAGCTCTTGGGGTTGTCGATGTCCTCAGCATAATAGGTGTCACTAGTGAGAGGTGTCCTGATATGAGCAGCCAATTGTGACACCACTTGACACAAGCCTGTCTTGCTGTAGACAGAACATACATTCCCTTCAATCATATGTGTGTGGAAGCCATGTGCTGAGCAGGGTGACTGTGCCAGCTTCAGCACACATGAGCAAACCAGCCCTGGGGTGCTCGTGGGTGGGTGGATACATGCGATGCCTATAAGGGGATGAGGCTGGGATGTATTTATGCCCAAATGTTGCAAAGATTGCACACTGCACCTGGTACTGGAGGAATAGCTTAGAATAAGTGTGCAGAGGTCCGACATCATGGATCTCAATTACTAGGTCAGATTTAGTGAGAATTTTGACAGTAGAAAACAGAGGCGGATGTTTGAATGAGCTTCTGTGGGACACTTGAAGGACAGCAGGTGTTGGGCAGGGATCAGAATTCCATGTGGCTGGTGGTCATCATCCACGTGGATTCTCCATGTGGAAGCTCAGAGACACATCTTAGAACTCATCCTCCAGCTCAGCTTTCAGAGCCCACACACAGAATACAAGGAGCAGGGATCTGACAGGATTTCCTCTTTGTGCCGGTCTTCCTTTCTGTTTCATGGGAAAATGTGAGAGCTGTGTGAGGTTCTTGGGCTCAATGCATCTCTAGTCAGGAGACTGAAGGTCAGCCATAGAAGTTATCAAATCCCAGACATCAAAGGCCAGCCATGAAGGTGAGAATCAAGACGTTAATCTGCCCC